GAGCGGCGGCCGCGAGCGCCCCAGGGGCAGTGCCCGGAGCGACTGGGCTGGCCAAAGTTAGGCTCTGCAGCGTGGGAGGCAGAGAAATCCCCAAGCTGCGCGCTGAAGAGGGCAGCAGCCCTTGGCAGCAGTCCGTAGCACAGGTAGCCGGTGATCTAGGCCGGGGCTGGAAACTTTGGAGCAATTAAAAGGCGCGACAGGACAGGGATCCGCCGCTGGGGCAGAGCAGGCAGGGCCCAATCTGCTCGGGGTGGGTCGCTTTCTCTTCTCGAACCCGGGGGCAGCTAAAGAGCCTGACCCCCTCCCTCCAAAGAAATCTTGCCCTTCAGATTTGGAGGAGCCCATCTCTCCGCCCCTGCTCGGAGTCCAGCCTCTGTATACGTGGCTCAGCTGAGCCCCGTTGTCCGAGGCGAGCTGAGGAGCTCTCCCTACCCCTGCCCTCTGCTCATCAAAGTGGAGAGTGCGGGGCGGACAGGAAATGGGGGCCTGCAGGAGAGAGATTTTGCAATGTTTCCAGCGGACTCATTAGCAAGGGCTTGGGGCAGGTTTCCGGCGCCCTCAGAAAACCCGCGTCCAGATAAAGTTGCACGTGCTTCTTCCCTTAAAACCCCATCCTCCTGGAGGTACAAGCCCCACGTTAAAACCTCCCAGCAGCGCGGCCCCTCGTTACAAGAGCCCTGCCAAGCTGGAGAACCAGAAGCCTGGCCTCTTTCGTTGCTACTTCACATCATTTAGTGAAGCCGGGGGTTAGCTCAGATAGATAGATAGATAGATAGATAGATTACATTAAACACGGGTCTTGGACTTAATTGTTCAGCCTGGCAGCTACCCCAGAGCGGAAATCTAATTCTTGGCCCAGCGCAGGAGCCGCAGCAAGGCTGCTGAAACTCGCTGAGCTGGCTGGTAATTCAGTCCAGGCTGCAGTTGCTGTGTTTACTCATCAGACGTGGCTCTTCCACTGGCTCGAAGAGCCTAATTTTAAGCCCGCTTCGCTTTGAAGTGCCATGGGCGCCCGCTCCTTTCCGAGAGAGCCCTCAATGCGAGAGTTTTGTTGTCGTGGGAAGATTGTTTGTCTCATTTCCGGAGGATGATTACGATACCTATAAAACCGGAGTGAGTTAAAACCTCCCTCCACAATAGTTGGTATTGTTACTGTCCTCAGTCGCACATTCCCATTGAGATGTTGATTGCACTCAGGCGTTCCTTTAAAAAAAAAATCTTTCCCAATCGAGATTCATTTCTCTAAGCACACCTGGAAAAATAAAAATACAAGTGTACTGGCAAAGCCAGGAAAAATCCTGTTTATTTTCTGAAAGCCACTCTCCCCCAGCAAAGTTTTCGGGCTGTGCAAGATAAGCATAATCCATCTGGGGAACAAAAAGAATCGTTTGGGAGTTTGTCTTTTTTTTTTTTTTTTAAACAAATGGATATTTTTCAAGGCAGGTTAGAACGAAAATGTACCGGGGAAATTAAGATTCAGTGTACCCAAAACATGCAGCGTCCACACTACTTACGAAAAGTTATGCTCAGCCGGTCTTTTGTTTAAAAAGACATTGCATTCGTCACAAAAACAGAGAGGGGTATCTCTGTTTACAGTACATGAGCTCGGGTGCCTGCTATTTGTATCTTTTTGAGTCGAGAGGAACTGGCCAGTGGGAATCTGAAGTTATTGTTCTCGCCAAAGTCTAAATCTCGGATGACTCCGCACAATAAATGGAAACATTTCGCAGTTGCTTCCGTAGAGAAATGAAAGTACAGATTTGCCAGGGGTAAGGGTGTACTGGAGTTGTTATAGCGACAGCTAAACAATCTGCATTGCAATCGTGTTTTATTTCAGCCAAAATAAATAAATAAATATATAAATCTGCAAAAAGAAAGCTTTCCTAGGGGCGCTCCCCAGGCAGGGATAGCAGCTCTGCTTCCAATCTTAGCGCTGGGAAGCTAAAAGCCATCCAACCTTTGGGCAGTGGAGCCAAGTGAGCAGCAGCCGGGCGAGTCCTATTTTTTCAACTTCCGAAAGATCAAGCCCCCGTGCAAGAAATCTGGGCAGCGCCGTGTAGCGCGGCGAGGGGGGTTTCTGGCGCCTGAGTCCATCGAGCCAATAAGTCAAAGCCCACCATCAGTGTACAGGTGCGGGGGCAGTTACCCTCTTAAACTTAAAAGGCTCCTTTTTGGAGTGTATCAGGCCACTTACAAGCCCTTCTCATGTTCAGACGTGCGAGGGAAAGCAGTAATAGCCTCTAATCCAAACACTGTTTGCCGTCTAAAGCATTTGTTTAGACTGAAGTATTAGCAACCTCACTGGGCAGCCTCCAGCCCCTCCTGGCAGAGCAGATCCCAGGGTGAGATCCGACAGCCGACACCCAGCCGGGCACCGAGCCCCAGGCCCGGGGGCAAGCCGGGCCGCGGGGCAGCGGGCACGGCGCCCCGAGGTAGGCCGGCTTTTCGGGTTTCTCCAGGAGAACGCCAGCCTCCCAGGCTTTGCACTTCGCAGCAGCCTGTGCTTCCTCTCCCCTCTCCTACTTACTTCCGCCACACAGTGGCAGCACTGAGAACCCCTCGCCCTGCAATAAATAATCCGGCGCTCACTGCAGTTGCAGTCAAGCAGATACTGCAATGCAATGCAATGCAAATGTAATTCTTTATCGGCCCCGAGAACACAAACACCGGTGCTAACATTTAAAGCACTCCCAGCAGCTCATTCTTAATGACTGTCAGGGCTGGCGAGATAGAGCAGGAGCAGACCCCGCCGCCGGAGCCGCGGTTTCCAGCCCACCGGCGCAGGCAGGCAGCCCAGATCCGTGCAACACACGCCAGTGCCCTGCGTGCTCACACACCCGGGGCCGGGGCTCTGCCCTCCCCCCTCCGCCAGCCGGTATTCACAATCCGGACTCAATTGGCACATGCCCTTCTCCAATCCTTCCAGCCCCACGCGAGAAACAGCAGGGGGGAAAAAGAAAAGAAATGAAAAGAAAAAAAGCTCCTTTCCCAGAGCTGACATCGCTGTAACACCGAGCCCGCTATACAAATAATCCATAAACCACCTCTGCAGAAACATGTCAAGGATCCGGTTCAACACAGTTACGTGACACAGTTATTTTGCATGCAATGATTCATCTGATAAAGAAACCGAAGCCCCATCTTGCCTGTCTTTCCTCTATCCCTGTCCTTCCAGAAATAGCCTCCTCTTCCTTTGAAAACATGCAATGGAATGAGGCGATGCTATGCTGGTTGGTCTCTTGCTGAAATTGTGAGTGTTTTCTTTTTTTTATTAATATTATTAGTTAGTCAGCTAGCACCATTGCACTTCATATTCTGCTGTTAAAGCTGTGGAATAAAAAACGAACGTGTTTCGGGTTTTTTTTCCTCGTGCAAAAAAAAAAAAAAAGTAATCTCCTTAATGTGATGTCATAAACCTGAATTCTGAAAAAAAAATCGCAATGTTCCAGCATATCTTTAAGAATTAAAAATAACTTTTATTAAAATGACACGGCAGCCTCGCTAAAGAGCAAATGTTTGTATTTTTGCATGCAAGCGGTTCAGTATAAACAAGCGCGGGTTTTGATTGATAATGCTTCAATTTATATAAATTCACATGTCTGCTATGCATCTCTTTAAAAAAAAAGGTATTGCACAGTTTCCCTGCTTACTGTAGTGTTATATACATTTCTCACCTTTAGGTTCTGGCTAGCAGGAGCCCCTGCTACTTTGACAGCTGTCGCTTTGGCTGCACAGGAGACGAATCGCCCTCCTTTTGGTGCCAGAAGAAGCAGGAAATTAGCCAGGTTGCAAGTTGAAAATCTGCCACTCCAGTGCTTTGAATCCAATATGCCACACCTTCCAGCGGAGGAATTGGAAATTGCCATCCAGGATCTGTGTTCTAGGCGGCTGCTTATGCTGAACCTCCATACACTTTGTTCACTATTGCCTTACAAAGAACAAATGAAATGGGGGATTGAAAGCCAGAGAGATCCGAAGCAGGACAGAGCTGAGCAAAAGAATGCAGCTCTATTCTCGCAAGGGAAATTATAAAAAAGTTCATGTTCACGGTTACTATCCACATGACCGACAACGACCAATGGAAAAACCGAACAACTCATAAAGTTGTATTGCAAAGTTGTAAATTTTCATAAACAACAACGGATTTATGGCCTTTTCCTCATCACTAAGAAGAGGCAGGTCTTAGAGAGGCGCCATCTTACCAGAGAGGCAGCCCTAGAGTTTTAAAGGACCTAGAGTTTGTACTAATTTTATTAAAATTGCAATTAACACATTGACCAGCCACTGCACACAGCCGAGCGAGGGAACTTCTCTGCAGATGCCCATGTTATTCTCCCTCTGTTTGTCTTGTCCTCTATAAAGCCTCGCCTGCCTGATCTTTTTACATTTCTTTTACAAAATACTGGATCTGCCGGACTTTTTTTGCTTTATTTTCCAGGAATAATTATTTATCTAAAAAAATATTTTCCCATCCCCTGTGGCTCGCTCTCACCCGTAGGCACAGATCGCTCCCGCTTGGAAGTTTCGCATTGCGCCTTGGGTTCATTACCAAATATTATTTCTCTAATGCGGATTTCCGCGTGGCCATGTAGGCGCATTTCAGCTCTGTTGTGATTTAAAGAGTAGCACACGCAGGAGCTCTTTTAAAGGATGGTTTGTGCTTAATTAATCAACTCAACTGAAAAATTATAAGCTCGAGCTAGAGAAAGTGACTGATTCCTTTCAATCCATCACGTATGAATTTCCCCCCGTTTGATTGCGGATGAAAATGATTTATTTGATCTAATTTCTTTATTTGTGTAAATTATTTTTATTGTGCTTCTTTTGCGCTGTTCACTAATAAAGAAACGCCATTCGTTGTCAACAAGCATATTTATTTTCTGTGTAACATAAAACACATTTATCGTGGGAGATACTTGAACACGGAATCACTTCCAAAGAGAGTTCACACACATTTTTTTTCCACTTCCAATACTTACACGGCATATCCAAATGTTCACAATGAACACAGCGAAACACATTGTAACATACAATTTTATGAATAAACTTTAGCCAAACCTTCAAGACGGATTTATAGAGTTTTTAACAATACGTCATGCTACAAGGTTTCCAAATTAATTACATACTTCTCAATTTATGACATGATCTTACACATGAGGTCTATGACAATAGAAATGATAAAAAAAAAGGTTCAAATATACAGCATTTGTAGGATTGTAGGAAAATTCATGGTATTACATATTAACACATTCTAATAACCAGGACAAAAAGGATTTTTGAGAGGCGGTAACATGGTCATTTGAATTCACTTTTTAAGCAACATTTTCAGTTATATTAAGTGAGACGAGCCTAGAAAAGAAAACGCCCTTTATCAGTGTAATTCAAAGGTAGACGCCAACGCAAGATATTAAACCGCTTTGTACAACATTGGCATGTGTTTGCTTCTTCTCTCAGAATAGTAAAGAAAAGAGAAGAAATATATGGTGCAGCATATGGTTTCCATTTATAATTGCTTTGGAATAAATATATTATTTTTAAATTTAAATATAGTCAGCATTTTCGGTACCAAATTATATACCAAAGCTATTGATGCGTGCTTTTCAAAGGACTACATGTAGGTTTCTAAAAGCATTCTGCGATTCACATTAGTATGTTCTCTTCTCTTGATTACTAAAATACAGTATACTTTAGAAGATAGGTAGGCGGAGCAAGATATAGGTAGTCTGGCAAATAGGTAGTACAACTCATTGCTTTAGGCTGTAGTGGTTTCTGTTTCATTATTGGTACAGGATTTTTCTTCCCTTGCTTTTTAAACCTTTTTTTGTTGGTGTTAGCTAAAAGCTCTAAAAAGGGGGGGGGGGGGGGGAAAGAAACCAGAAGTGCAGAGCTAGTTGCTCAAAATTAGGTAGTTTTTTTGTTGGTTTTTTTTTTCTTGTGAGCCTAATGCACTTACCCCTTAACCACTGATTGGAACTAGTTGAGTCAGGTAGTTATTCTGGATCTTAACGCTTGTCTATATGTGCAAGTAGGAGTTCTCCTCCTCAAATGTACCCCCTTAAAAAAAAAACAAAAGAAAAGAAAAACAAAGCCACCAAGGCTTGGGCAAACGAAAACAACCCGATCGGGATGATTTTAGGATGATCTGATGAGACATTTTGAATGGGTTAGACAGGAAATGGGGCTGGGCTGAGGCGGGGGGCTGGCGGGATCACTCGGGGAGCCCTTTCATGTCTGCAGACGCTCGCTTTCAAGATGCTCATTAAAAGGGGACTGATTTCTAAAATGAAAGAGTGAGTCTTTTTTTTTTTTGAAGGGAGCTTTTACAACTGTCACGTGCGTGGAGAATACTTGGGATTGCTTCATGGGATGGGACTTTTATTCCTCCTCTTCTTCCTCCTCTTCCACTTTCTCCACAGACGCTGCTGCTGACGTGGTGTCGTTGGGTACCGGGGTGCTGGAGCTCTCCTCCTTGTGCTCCTTCTTCCACTTCATGCGCCGGTTCTGGAACCAGATCTTGATCTGCCTTTCCGTCAGGCACAGGGCATGGGCGATCTCTATCCTCCGCCTGCGGGTCAGATAGCGGTTGAAGTGGAATTCCTTCTCCAGCTCCAGGGTCTGGTAGCGGGTGTACGTCTGCCGACCCCGCTTCCTATCTGGACCTGAAAGCAGGCAAAGAAGTTAGCTGGGAAACCGAAGACGGGCGCGTAGATGGAAACTTCGGTATTTACAGCCAGGCAGCAGCCGCCAGGAGCGACCCCTCGTCCTTCCCCCCACACAAAGGCATTTCTGCTGGCCGGCATGTCCAGCTCAGGCAGGACAAATCCAGACATCTGAAACAGACCCAAGCCGGGGGGAAAAATACTTGGGGGAGGCGAGAGGAGAAATTGCTTTCTCCAGGATGCACTCCCCTCGCCTGGGACTCCCCGCACTGCCCAGCTTTCCCCCTGCACACAGGCAGGCACTACCTCTGCAGCCAACAGCCTGCCGGGGGGGTGGGTAGGACGCTCAGAATCCCTTTCCCCATCCCACGGCAACTTTGTCTCCGCTCAGAAACAACCCATTGCAGAGAAGACCCCCCCCCTGCACACACACGCGCGCACACACACACACACACACACACACACACACACACACACACACACACACACGCACGCACGCACACGCACCCCCGGGCCCCGAATGCGCAGACCCTGAGCTGCCTGGAAAAGGGAAAAAAAATGACACATCACACACTAGCGTGGGCTAGTACAGTCCTGTGCCCCTGAACCAGGCGGTCCTCCGGTCCTGAGCGCCCCTCTCCTCCGCCTCTCCCACCAAAAGAGGATGATGATGATGGTTATTTTAGTCCAGCTTCTCTGGGGGGGACCCTCTCCCCTCGTGGGCTGGCAGGGTACATAACCAGCCCTCGATATTTCTCTCTCCAACAGCACAAATAAACTCAATGCTAACATTCCATAGCAAATGGAGTTAAATAAATTTACGAGGCTAGAACCCATTAATTGGGCAATAAAAAGTTTTATGATACTCATTTACATACAATGCCACGGGCTTTCTACGCAATGGCGCCTCTGCTATAATTAAAACCATAAAGGCTGTGCTGACAGTCATTTTGGCTACATATTCGCCTGGCTGCCGTCGCTCTTGCCCTCTCCGTTCCCCATACCTGAAGACCTCATCCAGGGGTATATCCGGAAATTAGCCTCTGCCTGGCTGTGCAGGTTGCTTTCCTCCGCTTTCTCACAGCTGGATTTGGTTAGATCATTGCAGAGGACGGGAATGTTCTGATCAAAAGAGGAACAATGCAGGTTGTAGGCGTCAGAGCCCAGGCTGTATCCGGAAGAGAACGGGTTTTGATATATGGTACTGTTCACATTGTACAAGCCAGGCATGGAGGAGGTGAAAGCACTAGCGCCTGGTCCATAGCCGCTTCTCTGAGAGTTGCTTGCAAAGGAGCAAGAAGTAGGCTCTGCATTTTGGAAAAGAGAAGCCCCCGTCGTATATTTGCTAAAAAGAGCATTCACATAATACGAAGAACTCATAATTTTGACCTGTGATTTGTTGTCCGGTAGGCTTCAGTGTCGGTTTTACGAGGTAGCGTGATATATGATAACATTACACCCCCAGATTTACACCAAACCCCATTTTCTTTTGGACTGAGCTGCCTCCAGCACGTGACCAGTCATATGACCCCGTCCTCCAATCTCCGCCTGCATCACAGGTGGTATAGATCAGCGTGTCTCACAGTATCCTATAATGGAAGGGGAAGAGGATCAAATATATGTCTAACAAATTAAAGACAAGGGGGCTTTTTTTGGTTAAGGCTGGCACATGGTAGACGGTATTTTGTAAGATCCCGATAAAGTACGGGAAGTAAATAAACAGAGATTTATATGGGTCTATAGTGAAATTTAAGCCGAGTGTTGTGCTATGTAAATCTCCCTATTCCAGGGCTGTATTGATGTAGAAAAGCTAGATATGGCTAGGCATATATTTTGCCTGCCTTTCAATTAATTTGTTATTTTCTATCCTCCCCCCCCCCCCCTTTTTTTTTTCTCTGCTTAAAAAGCCACCGCCAAGTCGGACTTGCACAGCAGCCGAACCTTGCACCAGATCTGACTTCCTAATGAACCAGAGTCCTGGGCTGCTCGATATTCCGTATATTTCGGGGGAAGAAAACACATCTTGCACATTAAAAAAAAGTCTCTGCAGTAAACTGTAACCATGTGGCTATCATAAAAAATGTTGAAATGATTCTGTTAATCATGCATGCATTATTTTTTTCCTGCAGGAAGGCAAGTTGTGAAATAATTATATACTGGGCTTCCTAATTTGCGAACAGATTTATTAAGATATTGACACGCTACGTTCTGCTAATCGCTTTCAGCTAGATGAATCAGGATGGGGTGGCTGAAGAAATGCTTTTCTGTCTTTTTTTTCTTCTTTTTTTTTCTTCTTCCAAATCAGGATGTGTCAGAGGAAGCTAACAGTTCTGGAAGAATATTGATACCCTTTGGCTCTGCTAAGAGTACCCCGCACACGCTGCCAAACCCTGCCTGTCCAATACAGCCCACTCCCCGTATTTCAAAGGCGAATTAATAATCGATCACGCTTTTTATTTATAATCACCCAGTCGCTGATTCTCTAAAGGTAAGGCTGCAGTTATGACGAATTCACTGTGCTAAATAGGAGAATAATTCCACCCCCTGTCCCCTTGCAGTAGCAAAAAAGGACATCTCTTTTTGAACACCTTTTTAAAAACCGAGAAGTCCCAGATACGTAGGGCTTCAGATCTTAACCTATTGCTTCATGCCTTCTTTACCTCTCTGCGGACCTACCTTCCCGTCCTAAGCTGGAGATGGCAAGGCTGCACTGAGATCACCGATAAAGTTCCTGATTTTCTAAACACCCAGCCTCCCAACAATAAGAATGACTTTCCATTGAGGATGTTGCACCGTACCCTTCCTTTAAACGGATCGTAAAAAGAGTTTCCTTCCCTCAGACAGGGAGTCCTGGTAAAGACAGCTTTTACTGCCCTGCTATATTGCACATCATAAACTGGAAGGAGCACAATGGAATTGCCCCGGAAATTCTCCTTTAAATTATAGAGTTTGGTGCCCTGTGTACAAAGACCTTCTCACCAGTTAAAGCTGTTCTTGGCTATATTTCGCACGGACCCTAAAGTTCACGTTTTGAAAATATAAAAGGGGTGGGGTGGGGATGGAGGCTCAGAGGCACACTTTACGTGGGAATATTGCAGCCCTCTGAATACAGGGCACGGAGAGAGGCAAGTCAAATTGCCTAAACCGAAATCATTTAGATATTTGTGGTAGAGACTATGCAAATGCTGCAGCTACCTCAAGGTATTTGCCAGGGACGAAACATGTACAAATACTGTTGTTGTTCGCAGTCCCGAACCGGCGGCTGAGCAAACAGCTTCCCCTGATTTTTGGCTCGGGAATATCAGACATCTCTACTACAGTAGTCGCAAAAACAGAGACACAAAATCCCAGCAGAAAAAGCTTTCCTGAAAGAACTAAGGGCCCAAGAAGCTAAACGAATGCGGAGCAAACAAGACGACGACTAAGAAGATCAAAGAGGCTGAATTCGATGGCATTAGACCAATAAATTGCTCCTCTGGTGACAACAGACCAAGATGCAAGAAGAAAGAAACAGCAAACATAACCAATGTCTAGACTGGGTATTGATATTGCAATGTTCTAGCTGGGTCTCCAGTGCTCATTGCAGTGGTCGCCCACTTCTATGCCGCGCTCTAAAATAGGTATTAAAAAATAATAATAATCCGGACAGTAATATCAAAGCCCCCACTTTATTATTATTTCCCCTGCGCCTTTGCTTGTCATGCCTGGTAAATAATATTCATATTCCGCAGGAAGTTGCAGGGAATAAAACTCACTAGGGGCTCGAAGAAAGGTTAGCTTTCCTCCTACCTCCCACCTCCCCCCGCCCCCATAGATTCGGCTGAACACCATTAAACCAGCACCCCTGGACTGGACACCAGAGCAGGTCACTGGGCTGCATCCATCCCAGCGCTTTCTAGAAAAGCAACTTTTTCATTGCAATGAAGTCCTGCCTTCCAGCACAACCGGGCCGCGCGCGTCGGAATGTCACTTAACCGATGTCCCCCCCTGTTTACAAAGTGCCTTAGGAGGGATCCCTGGGTTTTTATACGAAGAAAGCGGGAGGATTTCTTACTGCATTGTGAGCTTTGCCAGGATGCAAAAGGTAGAGGCAAAACCGTCCTCAGTAGTTATAAGCAATCTGGGGGCACTGCTTATCGCTTGTGGTTTCAGTAATCTCTAGATGCAATTGTGATACTGAAGACAACTGATGTTTCCAAATCTGTTGTCGCTGTACTGGGATAGATCTAAAAAAGGAATCGGAATAGTGTCATGCATCTGCCGGGTCCAGGTATCGCTTGCTATGGGAATGCATGGGCATATTTTCATTTCGACATAATGTTACTATCCGAGGAAGAAAAATAGTAATTCTCGAGCCCTGGTCGAACACTGCTAATGCAGACAGAGGTCCGTCAGGGTTGCCCCTAGTAGAGTGACTCCTAGAAAAAAATCCGATTGACTCCTAGAAAGAAAAATAGATTTAAAATGACTGGGGGGGGGGGGGGGGGTT